GGAGATAGGTGAGCAAAACCCAGTGGTAGGAAGTCGAGCCTCCTCCCCAACACAACGGTGAGTGAAATCGCCCTAACAGCCGAGGTCCTATAATTCTTAGCACACCCTGATGCTTGTCCCTATAAGGACAAGGACAATAGGCACGGTGCGATTTGGGTCTATGGTCAAGGAGGCAACGTGATCGACACATGCATTTTTCTAGCTCGTCGCTCCTAACAAGCTTGAAGAATGCTGACATCTGAGATAGAAGACACAACATCATCGCGAGTCGTTAGTTCGATACTGCAACGAGCTATGTGAAGGGCGACGGGAATCAGAGGTGTTGGAGGAGGAAGAATGGAGACACTGATCTGCACAAAAGTAGACAGTAGCCTGACAGATGGTAGCGCAGAAAGAGTTGCGTATGTGGTGGACTAAGGAACCTCTAATTTGGTAGCCAAGCAGACAAACCGTGACTCAATGCTCATGAAGGCGACCGCAAACAAGGCCTTAGAGGTATGGTGCACCATAGCCAGGTGGATGCAGCGGTCAAGTGCCGCTTGACTGAGAGGTGGCGGACTTCTGACGGGAAGTGGTCTTGGTTGTTGAGGTATGCAACCGCTGAAACTAGCATGCAACCTCATACTTTGGGAAAACCAAAAGGAATACCTTCAAAGCTCCAGCTCATAATAAAACAAGTAATGAGAATCGCCTTCGAAAGAAATGATGCATCATTGGATCAGGTGAGTCGGACGTCCTGAAACACCTGGATGTGATGCCCAAGATCAATGGTCTCGAACCACCTCGTCTAGGTGATGCAATCGAGTTTGGACTGGTGGGTGCCGAGGTGGACCTTGAGGAACTACACAAACTCCTCGGAGGTAGGACTGGTGCCCTAGCAAAGGTGGTAAGTGAGGTAGTGCTCCCATGCTCTAGATGGGGAGTATATGATCATTCTCAACCACTGGGAAACGTGCGGCATGTCGTCATACCCGACAATTTTTTCACCACGGAGGGTGGGACTCCCGCTTTGATGATGTTGAGGGGGGAGGTCAAGGACTCAAGGTACAAGTCAACACAGCAGCGACCAAGGTATGAGCCGATAGGGATGGAGGACGGGGCTGACGACTGACAGTATTGACAGAGAGACAACATAGGTAGTGGTCAGTGTCACAGGAAATTGGGAAGGGTGGGTAAGGGATAAAGCGAGGGGGAGTAGGGCGTAGGAATCGTGCCTGGAGGATCGGTGGAGGTAGAGAGCAGGAAGAGAGAGGGGCACAGTAAGGAAGAGAATGTGGGGCAAGAGCTGGACAGCTCTGCCGGATAGCAGCGAGCTCTGCCTTGGCTTGAGTGATGGGTGTGTGGGGTAGAAGGGGTTGTCGGGACCTTGCCAAGTTGTGGATGAATCGACATCCTGATGGAGGGTGAGCTTGAGAATGACATCACTATACCAAAGGAATCTGAGTGGTACGGCATCAAACTGGGTGCCAGTGGACAAACAATCAGGCTCGATGCCTGTGTCCAGAGAGCGGGGATGGCAGAAAGAGTGGTGGAGGGCAAGGAGAAGGCCCATGCCATACTTGCTGGTTTGGACAATAACAATAGTTGCCGTGATGTAATGAGACTGCTGCGCGGGCATACCCGGTGAAATTTCAAAATATATATTAAAAATGATAAAGTAATAATTTAATAAATAAATAATGTGTGAGGAGGGGGAGAGTAATTTATTCTTTTGGAAATTTCGACAGCATTTCCGCAACCCCATGGGATGAAGATGTTCCAAAAAGGGAGGGACGACCACAAAAGTACATTAACAAATTAAATTTTCTAAAAATTGAACGTTTTGACAATATTTCCCCACCCCATGGGATCAAGATGTACCAAAAAGGGAGGGAACTCTATGAAAGTACATTAACGAATTTGAGAAAATAAATAAATAAACTAGGCTACCAGCCGGGCCACCCAAGGGCCAAGTCCCACTGGCATTGCTCCTGTTCCGGCAATGGGGACCTCCATGTTGTGTGACACTCCTTGCCACCACCGATTGCCATGGATCGTAGGGCAAGGCCATTCTCTTCATTTTCACGTTGGCTTATTGAGGCAGGCGGTGAACTCGTTGCTTCCCCATTGGCTGCACATGTTCACCTTATTTTGTCGAAGGTGGTCTGTGAGTCCTCCTCTCTGGGGCGGTGCACATCAAGCTAGAGAGTGGGACCGCTAGTCCCATTTCAGATATGGCGGTGATGAACCAAAAACAAAAAGGGGAAAGAAAAACCATGGGACCCTACTATGGGCCTCCCTCCACTCCTCACCACATGCAGAAAAGACGAATTATGGCTGTGTATCTTTCCATGTTCTTGTGGAAAAATCATTCGCAAAAAAAAAAGAAAAAAAAAGGGAGGGCAAAAACCCTGCATCACCAGGGGCCTGGTAGGTACATCATGCACATAATGCCAATACCGACCCGAAGGCCTATTGGCCATGGTCTGTTTGAGAAAGGAAAGCCTTCACCATTGCTCTCCACGGGTGGAATTTGGCAATGAACTTTCTTCAAGGACATGGAAAGACGCACTTCCATACGTTTTGTCTTTTGTGAATGTAGAGCTCAGTGCAGCTGGACCCATGAATTCATACCCCATACCTGGCGACGACAGGGGCAGCTTCCTCTGCGTTATTTTTTTGTTTTTGTACTCCAGGTGGAAGAGCTGTAAGCGCGCTACACAGCTGGAATTTTTTTTTGCCCACGGAGAAAATAAGGCCGCACAACGCCGTCCGCCGTCGCAATGTGCCTCGTAGTTCTGAAGACAGGAACAGGAGCAATGCTTGTGGGACTTGGCCACAGGTCACCCTATTCTGCCCGTTATGCAGGAAAACGAACCCAACAACTCTTTTTTTTTTTTGTTTTTTTTTTTTTGCCGAAGCTCAATTGCTTCTCCTTTCTTGCTTGAACTGATTGTAGGAGTCAGAACTTGAATTCATGTCCAAATTTCAAACTTCAAATTTCAAGAAAGAATGGAACTTCCAGAATAGTTCGGTAAACGAGACAGCCAACCGATACCCAAAAAAAAAGATGGCATGAGCTGCTAGCCCTTTCTGATTTGGCCACACGTGTCTCCGTCGGATTGTGTTTCAAATTTTCAAATAAAAGCTAGTCATAAAAAATGACGCTCCTAACGCGTTGAAGAACTCAAGGGTCTGAACAAGAGGAGAGTGAAATTTGTTTACTCTTTCCCAACCCACCCATCAGGGAGAGCCCTTCCTGAATGTAAATGCTTCAAGGGTGGTATTGCCCCCTCCTGCAGGCTTGTACGAGATGGACCCAGCTCCTCTTGCCAGCCCAGACTGCAGGCTTATACGAGATCGACCCAGCTCCTCTTGCCAGCACAGTATGGCACAGAACGCCAACGCATCTCGGACCAAAAGTCAACCTGGATGTTTTTGGAAAATTTTGATGAGATTGAACATGGCGGAGCCCACTTGCACGCGCGCCTCTCATTGGATTGCAGCGAAATCTGCCAGTGCTCAGGACTAGATGCAGCCTTATCCAGAACCAATACCTTTCTCGGCCTTTTGGCTAAGTAAGATCAAGTGTAGTATCTGTTCTGATCAGTTTAATATCTGATCCGTGGTCCATCGGAAAAAAAAAGAAAAAAAAAAGAAAAAAAGAAAAAAAGCCTTATCCAGAACCTTATCCAAATCCTTCTTGTGGTCTGAAAGATGAGAGAGATTGAGTAGAGGTCCTGTGCTTGCAGGCAATTGAACGGCTGTAGCCAATTGACCTGAACAACTTTTGTTTTTTTTTTGTTTTTTTTTTAATAAGAGACTGCTCATTTGATTATACAAGCTGGGAAATGGGCCCAGCTTCCCTCACATCAATAGCCGCAGCCACAGGGATGAGCCAGGCACTCCGGCCAGGCTTAACCCCACCGCAGCTAAATTTTGCCAGCTCTCAGAAGGCCAATGTTCATGTCACACTGCCGGCTCGCAGTCCGTTATAAAACTATATCATTAAACCATCTCATCTATCTACACTCTATCTACGCTGTATCTATCTATCTATCTGCACTCTGTCTGCTCTGTCTGCTCTGTCTGCACAGTCTGCACAGTCTGCACAGTTAAAGAATGAACTCTTACTCAACTCTTACTCCTTCAGCTATCTTCTTATCTTACAACTCTCCATAATCTGCACACACTATAGCTATTCACAGCTATTCACAGAAAAAATGCTGAAAATCTAACTTCTGGCGGCTTCCCTTGGGGTTGCCTCACCGTCAGCGGTCCTCACGGTCACATCGAAAATTTTTTCCATATTTCAATTTTTGGTTTTTTGCTTTTTTTTTTTGCTGGGCCCTCTGGTAGCCTAGAAAATAAATAACTAAATTAATAAATAACTAAGTAAATAAATAACTAACTAACTAACTAAATAAATAAATAACTAAATAATAACTGAATAAAGTAATAAACAAGTAAATAATAAAGAGTAGTTGATTGAGAAGAAGTGAAAAACAAACAATTGCGAAGACTAGTGTGAGAGTCTCTTTCGGGGGCCGAGATGGTGCTGGATAGTACATGCCGATAAGGAGGAAGAGCGACAACCTACACAGTGTGCAAATTGCCTCCCCGTGCCTTCCCCCTCGTCAGGTCGACCATTTGAGTTTTGGGCCTTGTAGAGCCAGTTGCTGGCGGGCCAGGCACCGGCTTGACCTGAAACCCCCCCCCCCTTTTCTCTGATCCATCTTGCTTTGTTCTTCCCTTTCCTTCTCTGTTATGCTTGCCGATGATAAGCAACTGGACTGGTGCCCTGTGCTTCCGCTTCCATTAGGGCTTGGAGGTTGGCGGGAAGAGTTGGGGACGCGTGAACGCACGGAGCGCTCCCACCTGACAAGGCTCGGTGGGCATCCCTTCCAGGTCCTCGGACTTGCCGAGGTCGTCTTCGTAACGGTGGAGCGTCAGGGCGGCGCGCGGCGGCGGCCATGGCAGCAAAGCTTTAGTGAGCATCGTGTCTACTGTTACGGGAGTGTCTTTGCGCAACAATAGGAATGACGACAGAACAGCAGGTAAGTTGACGTCGGCCACATGGCTTCAGATGGAAACCGCCGACAAGCTGCTGATGCATGGCTATCCAGCATGGAAGATTTATGCGCCAGCAATAGCATCGCGATACCCCCTAGCTGCTCGCCCTACGGTGCACCTGTTCTCTTCGTTCGGAAGAAGAACAAGGAGCTGCGCTTATGCATTGACTATCGCAAGCTTAATGCTCAAACCATTAAGAATGTCGGCCCGCTTCCACGCATCGACGATCGTCTCGAACGTTTGGGCGGCGCCAAGTATTTCTCGAAGTTGGACCTCAAATCCGGTTACCACCAGCTCGAGATCCATCCAAGAGATAGGTACAAAACCGCGTTCAAGACACGGTACGGGCACTTTGAGTGGGTCGTAATGCCATTCGGCCTCACGAATGCCTCAGCCACCTTCCAAGCGGCAATGACAACGGAGTTTCGCGATATGTTGGACCGGTTCGTGCTCATCTACCTCGATGACATCTTGGTGTATAGCCAAACTTTGGACGAGCACATCGTGCATCTACGTGCTGTTTTGGACAGGCTTCGTACGGCAAAGTACAAGGTCAACCGAGCCAAGTGCGAATTCGCACAGCAAGCGCTCGAGTACTTGGGCCACTTTGTGACGCGGCAAGGCATCCGTCCGCTTGCGGACAAGATCAAGTCCATTCAGGATTGGCCGGAACCGACCAACACCACGGAGGTTCGCTCTTTCATGGGATTGGCCGGGTACTACCAACGTTTCATCGGAGTATACGCACGGATCGCCGCACCTTTGTCCAGATTGCAGTCTCCACAGGTGCCCTTCCACTTCACCGATGAAGTCCGCAGTTCGTTCCACAAATTGAAAACGGCGCTGCTCCTCACCCCCGTCTTGAGTATCTACGATCCCACCTTGCCTACGAGAGTGACTACGAACGCTTCCGGCTACGACATGGGTGCAGTTTTGGAACAACGCGACGGAGTAGATTGGCATCCGGTTGAGTACTTCAGCCAAAAGGTGCCTCCCATCAACTCTGTTGATGATGCGCGGAAGGAGTTGCTCGCGTTCGTCACGGTACTCGAGCGTTGGCGACACTTCCTCCTCGGGCGTCGTAGGTTCACTTGGGTGACAAATAATAACCCATTGACCTACTATAAGATGCAAGACACGGTGAGCAGCACGATTCCTCGGTGGATGTACTTCATCGATCAGTTCGACTTCACACCGTAACATATTCCGGGCCTCTCCATCCAACCAAGCTGCAGATGCTCTCTCGCGAAGATCAGATCTTTGCGCAGTGACTCACCACGCGTTCAGTTTCGACGAAGCCCTATATCAGCATTTTGTGCGAGCATACAAGTCTGATCCGGATTACAGCACGCTCTATGAACAACTATCCTCCAATCACCCGCTGGCCAGCCATTATCGCATCGTCGATGGCTACCTGCTGCTTCACTCACGAGGCAAGGACTTACTATGCGTCCCACACGACCGTCGCTTACGGACTCGTCTCCTCGGCGAGTACCATGACTCGAGACTCGCCGGCCACCTCGAAGTCAACCGTACGATCGCAAGACTTCGGCAGTGATTCCGGTGGCCTGACCTCATTACCGACGTCACTTAGTATTGCGACTCTTGCGAAGTTTGCGGACAAAGCAAACCCTGCAATCGCAACCCCTACGGTGAGTTACGCACGTTGCCAATTCCACGGGAACCCGGCCTCTCTATTGTTATGGACGTCACTGGGCCGTTCCTCGGGACCGCTTTGGGCACGATGACATTCTCACGGTCGTTGACCGTTGGAGCAAGTACGCACGATTTCTTCCCTGCAAGTACCACGCCACAGCTCCGGAACTTGCACGTCTCTTACACACCGGCTGTATTTGCGGCCACGATGTTCCGGAAGACATCGTCAGCGACCGCAACACTCGGTTCATGTTGGCATTTTGGACCTCTCTCATGAAAGAGTCCGACACCGAGATGAAACCATGTTCGGCTCGACATCCGCAAACGGACGGGCAAACGGAGTGGGCGCATCAAACCGCTCTAGTCATGCTTTGCACACTCATCCATACGGATCAGAAGGATTGGGTGGACCGCCTCCCCGACATCGAGTTCGCCTACAACACTTCCGTGCACCCAGCGATCGGCGTGACTCCGTTCAAGTTACACCACAGTGGCCGGAAAGGCCGTATCTTCGCTGATCTTCCTTTTCCAAGGACTGCCAACATTGACGCCGCTTGTTCGCCCGCCTCCGTTCGGAAGTATAGGGACTTGCTGGCTAAAGCCCGCGCCGACATGCAAAAGGCTCAAGTCCGCATTCAATAGCAAGCTAACAGGCGTCGCGTGCCGTGCCCCATCCGCGCCCACGACCTTGTTTGGGTCTCCACGAAAGAGTTTGCCCTCGAGCAGGATGTATCCCGCAAGTTACTTCCAAAGTGGTTTGGACCATGGCCCGTCACATCAGCCGCGGGTGATGAGCCCGATGGCCCTTCATTTGTGATCGAAATCCCGCCGCACCTCACGGTGCATACGGTTTTCCACGCCTCCAAGATGGCCACATATGCACCAGCCAAGAGCGACGACTTCCCGGGACGACGATCACAGGACCCTCCTTCCATGGATGGTCATCAGGAAGTCGACCGCATCATCACGCATCGCAAGCACGGCAACAAGCCTATGCAGTACAAAGTCACATTCAAGTGGTGAGACCCCGATGACACGCGATGGATTTCCTGGGCAGCTATGCGAGCCTCCGCTCCTTACATCTATGCTCATTATGAGAAGAAACGGCTAGCGACGGAAGTTGCACAACCTCCCATCCGGACTTCAGTTCCTCCCTCCACCAGACAACTTCGTCCTCGTAGGTCAGCTCGGTTTTTCAAGGAGGGGGGAGTGTGGCATACTTCGTACCACACGGGCCCAGCAGAGCCCGACCTGGCAGACTAGGGGTCCGTAGGGGTAGGGCCTGTTTCAGGCCGTGTGTCGTTTCGGCCTCCAGCCTGAAAACGGCGAGCCGTTTTCAGGCCCTTGCAAGATCGACCTACCCTGAAACTCAGGCACCAGACTGGGGTTTTAGGTCAGGCCTTTAAGGCCTATTTTGTGGAGCGTCAACCCCAGGGTCTAGCACGTTTTGGCATAGGCACGAGCAGCCTCGCGGATGGGCCAACACTATATAATGCTGACCCGCCCTGTAGGCTGCAGGTAGTAGACAGGCACTTCACGTGCAGAAGGCAGGAGGCAGTTTTCAAGATCTGGCAGCGGCATGTTGGAGGAGTAGCGATAGTAGTAGTCTTCAGCGCTGGGCGCTAGTAGGAACTTAGAGAGAGAGAGAGAGAGAGAGAGAGAGAGAGAGAGAGAGAGAGAGAGAGAGAGAGAGAGAGAGAGAGAGAGAGAGAGAG